CTTATTTTGACTGATTATCATCCTATAATAAATAATCGTTTTTATCAAGAAAATTATATAAAGATAAATTTTACATTCTTTTGAAGATAATGTGGTTTATTCAATTCAAAAAATACATTGTTAGTTTTGAAAACCGTTTTTCAAAACTCTGTACTGGGATGACCTAATTTATTGGACAAATAATTCTTAAATTATTTTTCCTTTGCTTAACCCTCATTTTTTGTTATAAATATTTACTCGTAAAAAACAAAATAACAAACTTGATTTTTTTAAATTTTACTTGACAAATAAATCTTGCACCCAAAATTTACTTGAAAAATATAAAAAACAAACTTGGGATTAAAATTTTGATTACCATAACACAATTTTTGCTTAAAAAAGAAAACACAACTTTATAATTTAATATCTGTGTGTACAGAATCGCCAATTTGTGTTTCATATAAAAATAAAAAGTATGAACGAGTAAAACCAGCATTTATAAAATTGTTTAAGATTTTACAATTGAAAAGTTTTATTTTTAATTTTTTAACTGTTTATTTCATTTAATACTGTAGTAATTAGCGAACTTGTTTGTTTTAAAACGTTTGTTGTTTAATGTATTCGATGGCTATTATTTAATTGTTAAAATAATTAGAAAATGGTTATTAATTTAAGTATTATATCATTCAACGCAATTGTATCGTCCGTCACATCGTTTGTTAATCATTATATTGTCGTTTATCTTGTGTTTATCTGAAAGATAGAATTTTACTCACGTTTAGTCACAAAATAAACCACTGACTATATAACGAACCTAGAAAATCGGGAAAGATTTGCCTAAATTTTGGGTGCTTTCCCGATTATTTGTACAATAATTGAAATTGTATTGATTTTTGAGGGTTTAAAACTGTGTACCGTTGTTGGTTCAACAAAAAGGAAAATAGAAAATAAAACAGATAAAAAATAGTAAATAATGGGAAATTATGACAAAGGGTTTATATAAATTTTGGAAACGGTACAGAGTTTTAAAATACAGTTTATAATTGCAAAAGATAATAAAAATAGTTTTTATTTATTTATTTATTTAATTTATACTATAATTTAAAAAGGACATGAATGAACTATTCAAAACCTTTGTTAAACTGACAAATATATTATATATATTAACAATTAATAATAATGTGTATGTTGAAAAGGTATATTAATTGTTTAAATAAAAATTTTATGTTAAAATCACTAAAATTATTTCTAATATTTTTAATTGGTTGTAAGTACTTCTGTGTATATTACAATTATAATGAGTGAAACTTGTTATTTAATTTTAAAACTATGCATCCCATCATTTCATATGCTTTTTACTGTTCAATTGTCGTTCTTTAAAATTGGATTATAACACATTGTAATGATGATTTAAACAATACAGAAATTTTTTTTAAATCGTTAACTATAGTTTTACCAATTTTTAAAAACATTTTAACAATAAAAAACTTTTTAAGTTTTTTGTTAACAACATGCTAAAACTAAAATATATATTGACACGTATTAGAGATTGCCACGAAGTTGTTTAAAAACTGGATCTTGGCCGACCCTGTTATAATTACAAAAAACAACAATCAACTTTGCTTTTAGTCAAAAAAATTCGTAAAAATTATAAAAAATTCATTTTTTCGTAAGAGTCTAATTTGAAAAACAAATGTTTTTTTATGGGGAAGAGTTAACACTAGTTCCATGTTTTTAAGATTAAAATATTGAAAAAAAAACGCCTAACTGTGGTTATGCATTTCAATTATCAAAAAGTTCTATTTTTGTTTTTGTAACAAAGTTAATATAACGTATAAATTGTATATTTATTGTTATTATTTTTAAAATATCACGTAGACTCGTGCATGAATTTCACAAGTCTTTATAATAAAAATATTTGGTCTGGTTTAAATTGGTTTACAATAATTGTTTAATTATTTTTATTATAAATTTTTGGTAAA